AGGATCCAATCCCTGTCCACCTTAAATTTTACTACTAACCTTATATACATTGCGATTTTGGCAGCGACCAGTGAAGTTCGTTTCATTGTATTTCGCTGAACGATGAACGAGGATGATGCTGTGAAGAAGTTGGCGGTCTCCATGTAATGCGGTGTCGTTTCTTGTGTGAGAAGTTCGTGTTTGACAGAAACAGTCCGTGGCCCGCGCAGAGTTGAAGTAGGCGATCTCCGTTGTCCGTCCGGTTGGCTGGGATTGCATACGGTCCCCCAAGAAGCCTTTCTGATTCGTCCAGGGATTCCACTTGAGCATTGAAGCCTCCAGCGATTACCACGATGTCCGTTGACCGAGCACTTCGGAGCAGTTGGGAGAGATCCTTGTAGAATGTATCTGTCATTTCAGATGCACTGTAATCGGTCGGTGCATACACAGATACGACGAATAAGCACCGACGCTTCGTTCTGTAGCTGTTGACCCGTGCTCAGTCGTTGAGACGTACAGCGCATAGTCCGCTACTGACTGGAATCCAGTCAAGAAGCGAGCGCTCAGCCTTGGCATTCAGCGCAATCCCAACACCAGCAACACCGCGAGCTTCAGATATCGAATCGCCTGACACAAGGAGGGTGAAGCGTGAGATCGAGGTTGGGTTAGGAGAACGCAGGGAAATGATTGAAGTAGGGTCTTGTGTGCGTGTTTCGGAGACACAGCGCACATCTACATTGAAAGTTTCAAGGCTTCTAGCCAAGGCAGCTTGTTGACCAATCTGATAGAGTATGCGGCATTGAACGCGGCTAAATGAAAAGGAAATTTTGGCTTCAAAAATCCTGTAACTTCCGATTGTTTGGCCTTGATGGTAAAACGCTGAGTGATATTCGATGGGTGGCGTAAACAGGCGTCTGGGATTATTCGGGACTGAGAGGAAGAACTAGATAGATCGGAAAGAGGTTTTTCCAAATGGGTGCCTAAAACTTTAGGGCACTGCATACTTCGCCGTTTCCCACACCGACGAAGAGGGTTTTTCTTTGGGAACCGTAACCGGAGCCTTCGACTCAAATGTGTGTCTTACTGGGATCTTCCCGGCGTGAGCGGATCGCAAAACGCCATCAGAATCTGCATAATATTGTGCTGGTGGTGCAGCCTCACTCGCGGTCTTTATAATTAGCACAACTATTGCCCAAACTATTAGATGGTGATCACCGAAGTCGGTTCAGGAAATTTATCTTTTTGGCATTTGGTTTGTCATTTTTTTAGCAAAACGTATCCACTTGCTCCATTGCTTCCCCAGTTGAAATAAGGGTGGGTGCTGGGCGAACTCAATTTTGTAGCAACATTTGACACTTTGAAGGTGCAAAAGGTATACCGAGCACGACTACTTTAGCAATCGAATTATCCAAAAAAGCTTGCAAGTTACCTGAATCTTCTCTTTGGCGCCTAATGTCGTCTGCATACTCCAAAATCGGGCAAGCTGCCGTCTGGGAGCAAATCGATATCACTTTCGTTGTATCAGGATGAGATTGTTTCAGGAACTGAATCTGTGAGAAAGTTCAATAGGAAAGGAAAGAGAGGGCAACCCTGACAAACAGAACTTTCGGTTCTGAGCACTGGCTTCGGCTGTAAGTATAAAGAGATCGTAATATTGAAATAAACTTCTCGGACATTCTTCAGAAAGGGCAGGGCCAGGGTTTAGAGCGGTCGACTGAGTCGTAGGTGGCTTGAGATCCATAATGTGTCAGTGGAAGGAGTATCTGTGTTCCGAAATTTGGTGTTAGTGCCACGTGAGACTTATCTGTAACTGAAATTTTTTTACTGCAGCACTCGAGCACCTACTGGTTTTGTGCTGTTGGCTCACCCTCGATTGGGCTTCTAATTGTTTTTTTCTCTAGTAGTTTNTTTCCTCTTCGGAGTTCAGTCTATATCATGGGATTTTTCGAATAACTGTTTTTAAACTGGTGCATTTAAGCATTTCTTATATAATATGAAGTTTGTTTCCTTCAGCTGACAGAATGTCATTATTCATGCTACCGGTACGTTTAACCCAGCCAAAATTGACTTACGTTTTTCAAACGATTATGGATTATCTTGTATTTTGATTTTTCAACTTTTAAGGGTATTCACAAGTTCTAATTTATTTTATCTATTTGTAGGCCCAAACTGTTTATCGATTGGAGGAACCAGTGACTTATGAATCATTGAGTATGTCTTTGCAAGTTATTTTCTCTATTTGAATATTTTCCTTCATGTAATTTGTGTGGGGTGTTTGCCAGAAATCCACTCGCTTCTTGATCTGGCGACTACATACTTAACTGAGTTTCAGTAATACGTCACTAACGATAACAGTTATTCAAATATGACATCTCACTGAACAAAGTCGGTGTGTTTCGTTTTGGAAACAGCTCTCGCGCTCCAATTCGATCTATTAAACGAAATCCAAGTGGGGTGAACGGGATTTGTTTCAATTTACATTATACTTTAGAAACTCGAGATAACGGAGGTAAGGAAAAATAGCAGTAAAAAAACAGTTGCATTTGCACATGTAATCTCATCAATCGATTTGCCTGATGCGGTTTTAGCTGTGCAGCTGGCGAACACGTTATATTTCTGTTCGGCTTTTACAACCATTAATCATGCACTTTCGTGCCCCAGTTTTGGTTGCTGTCTTTTGGTCGCCTATTTGAATAAAAGAGCAGGATGAAGATTGTCATGTTGAGAGCAAATTCAAGCGGAAGATGGAGAATTCATATAGACTGATGATAAGAGAATGATAAGTAAATGTATGAGCGTCACTGTTTGCGTAACCCAGCTACATCGCTCAGTGTCTCTGACCATCGGTGACTGTGATCTCGGGGTCCCCATCCAAGGAGTCTAACGGGACCTATGTGACTCAGTCTCTTGGTTAGAGTTTTCATACCCTCATGCCAGGTATTCGTTTGACCTCTCTTGACCTTTTCTAGCCGATATCTGCCTCGGCAAACATCGCTCGCTGTGGCAACCTATCTGGTGACATGCGTAACGAATGTCGCAACCAAAGCACTCTATGGAGGTCGATCACTTGCTCCAGTGGACGACCTCGATCACCTAAATCTTTGCATCTAACCTCATTATTTCTTGTCCTGTTGTCCCACCGGACTCGTTCATTGCTGCGTAAACAGTGCTGTTCAAATACTGACAGTCTATCTTTCTTCTGTTTTGATATTGGCCAAGTCTCTGCGCACACCTGTGTGATGTACAGCAAACGGGCTGAATCCGATGATCAAGAAGACCTGTTTCTCAGTGATGAAAACCGGTTACCCAATCCCCGGGAGTTGGAGTGTCAATCACATGAAGCCCGCTGGGTTAGATGTAGAACCTTACGATAGCAAAGCTGTCTACCACGAACGCTAGGTGGCGGAGTTCGATCCTGGAACCATACGGTCCACAGCATACAAGTGACCGCGACTAAACCATTACACTGCCGTCACATAAACAGAAAAATCTCGATATCAATAGCAAAATAATGCTTGCTATCACCATATACTATTGTCAATCTCCAGAAGTCGATCGATTACGATCACCTGGGGGACAAACTTTATTGACATATTTATTGCGTAATTAGTGGACGCTTTTGACACAGATCGGACTATTCGGATGTTTTGTTAGAGGATATCTGCACGCGAAATTCTCTTCTCTACTTTTATTGTGGGTCGATCGCCAAGGTTTAAGAAAAACCGTGGAGGGCTGAGGCACTAAGTAACATGTACTGGTGTCATTCACAGTCAGCTTCAAATCAGCAAATACGGATGAGT